CTTCGTTGCCTCTAACAGTTTCTCCTCCAACCCCCACACTGTCACGTCTGGCATTCCCCAGGGCTCGGCCCTTGGCCCTCTCTTTAATATCTACACGCTCCCCCTTGGTGACATCATCCACAGACACAGGGTCAACTTGCATATGTATGCGGATGACACCCAACTCTTATCTTTCTGCCTCCACCCTCAACTCCAGGACCACTGCTGTCCTGACAGACTGCCTGTCGGACATCAAGTCCTGGATAAGGGCAAATTTCCTACAGTTGAATGTGAACAAGACTGAGGCCCTCCTGCTTGGCTCGCACCAGCACCTCAGGCTCTGGCAGCATCAACCTCCATGCTTGCATACTACAACTCACCAAGCCAGTCAGGAACCTAGGTTTCTTGTTCGACCCGCAACTGTTTTTTCTCCCCCACATTCAAACCATGACCTGCTCTGCCTTCCCTCACCTCCGTAACATCGCCCGACTCCGCCACTCAGGCCGCTGAAACTCTTGTTCATGCCTTCATCACCTCCAGGTTCGTCTATGCAAACACCCTGCTTGTCGGCCTTCCTAACTCCTCTCTCCACAGGCTGCAGATAATCCAGAACTCTGTAACCCGTGTCCTCTCCTGCACCAAACTCCGTGACCCAATCTCCCCCACTCTCGCTCGATTCCATTGGCTCTCTGTCCTTCAGAGGATCCAGTTCAAGATCCTGGTTCTCACAAAAAAAGCCCTCCATGGTCTCGCCCCACCCTACCTCTGCAACCTCCTAACCCCCTACCAACCCACCCGCTCCCTCCGCTCAGCCGGCTCCGGCCTGCTCCAAGTCCCCCAACTCACCCGCCCCACCATTGGCCGCAGAGCTTTCAGCCACTCTGCCCCCAACCTCTGGAATTCCATCCCCCAGTCACTCTGCCTCGCTCCCTCCTTAGCCTCCTTCAAGTACCGCCTCAAGACCCTCCTCTTTGACCATGCCATCTCCCATCTCCCTCCCCCCCTTCCCCCGACCCCAGCTTGGGTCTGAAATGCTGTACTCTGTCCAGTGCCTTGGGACATCCTCCCGATGTGAAAGGCGCTATATAAATGTAATGTTGTTGTTGTTATGTGACCCACAAAGTATTGCAATTTATTTCCTTTAGGTTTCTCATACCTCTGGAAGCATCTTGTTTCAGATATTTGCAATTCATTCCGTTGAATACTAGGAGTTGCATTGAGAATAGGATCTTTTCTTGATCTTGCTCCTATTTTTCCCTTTTCTTTTGAAAGAGGCTTGTCTGAAACTGGAAACTTCACTATAAAACTGCAGACCAAAACTACTTGTTGCACATATTAATAAATCATCACTGCAACCATGTCATGGTAATTCTCTGAAAGGCTTGAATGTTTTCCGATTAGTAGCTTAAAGTGCAGTAGAAAACCAGTTATCTGCGCTAATTGAGAATGTCTCCATTTTGGATAAGGAGATGCTGGGAATTATTGGTCATCATGCATCATGAGGGTGTTAGCTTTATTGACTTTCTCTAAGATCCTGCTTCATCCTTCTCCCCCCACCCCCCCTTTTTTTTCTGGGGCATGATAGAGGATATTGCTTGGTGAGGGAGCATGTTGGGTCCTTTGTAAATTGAAAGGAATGTACCTCAACAGAAAATGTGTGTCTATCGGATGCAAAGTCTGAAGTTTTATTTCAGGAAATCGCTACAGGTCTGTTGTCATCCCATTGAGTGTTCCATTTCCTGCTGCCGAAGCTGTTGATGTTCACATTTAAGCCAGGAGAAATACTTACTGTTCCACTTTACCATCTCAAAGTTAGTTTAATAAACCAATGAACCTAAGAGCACCTTAAAAAGAAAAGGTTTAAAGTGTTGAGCGTTCACCTTTATTTAGAAGACATTTTGCCTTGGATTTGATTTGCCTTGGATAAAGAGGGACTGTATATGATTTTTATTGGGGCCATATTACCTCACCCCCAAGGGAAAGTATCAGGTGCTTCCATAGGTTCAAATTCATGAACGCCTGTTACTTGTACCCACTTGTTTTCTCAGTGGTTCAACCTACCTACAGCAGGAGTTGTGTACTTGTCAGAATGACTGATGGTTGAGAGCTTCCTCTCTCCGGGAGAGCTGTTTACGTGTTCAAACATTGAGGGCTTCTAGAAAACTGGAGAAATTCCAGCTGGAATTGACCCAAAATGTGTACTTGATAGACGGGTTTGAAAAGTCCACCTGTCAAATATGACACATTTGTTTGATTTTAAAAAAACTCATTCCTTTGTTTTGATAAACAAATGTGCTCAGTAGTCAGATCTAAAGCAAGATACTACTAGGACCAGGAGAAGGTTTTGTGGTGTGTGAAAGGGAGTAGTGTCTCTTAATACCTTTTGATCTCTAATTCACATTACTCTTATCTGTTTCTGAAGTGCACCAAATATTTTCTTAATTGTTGGTATATTCTGAGATCATAAGGAATGTTAAAAGTAGAAGCAATTTCAATTCTGTTAACAGGACTATTCGTCTGGTTTGGGTGACCTAAATGTGTGCTTAGCCGATGAGGTCATAAGAAAAACTCAATGTTGTTACTGGATTTAATGATGCCATAGAAACATTTGTTTATTCTGTGGTAAAACAAATTGCATAATCAGTAATTTGATGTTGCTAACTGAATCTTACCCAAACAACTCCACCTTTTCAATCTTGATATCTCTGCAAACTAGAATGATGGCATAATTGATAATTTCACATAGCCAAGAAATTGAGACAGAACCTTCCATCTTTGAATATCTAGGTGTCCTGTAGCTCAGTGTTTAGAGCATTCGCTTTGCAAGCGAGAGACTGGGATCGATTCCTGGCCGGGTGAAACCTTGGGAAAGTTTCCTTACTTCGCACACCTGATAATAATGCCGCAAGAAAAAAACAATAATAAATTGATCATTTCAATTTCACGTCTTCTAGACGTCTCACAGCACTTCACAGAATATACTGTAAAGTGAATTGACTGCATTTTTGTGGGTGAAACGCGGCCGCCAATTGCGCATAGCAGTGGCCCACAAACAGCTGTGGATTGAAGTGACCAAATTATTATTGTTTTTTTCTTAAGGGATTATTATCGGGCATGTGGAGTAGGGAAACTTGCCCAAGGTTTCGCCCTGCTGGGAATCGAACCCAGGTCTCTCACTTGTGAGGCAAGTGCTCTAACCACTGAGCTACAGGACTCCACTGACTTGATTGACTTATGGGTTTATTTGGTTGCCATTCAAATCATTTCCCCCTTAGTGCTTAAAGTGTCAAACTGAACTCATAAATTGGCTCTTTTAATTTGTGTGAAAATCCAGTGACAGAAAATGAGATATTCTTTTAGCTCTGAACCTGCTGCATTCAGTGCTGGGCCGTTTCAAGCATATGCAGTCAAACTGTATTTTGCTTTGCTATAAATCGGGTTGAGATTTTATAAATCCCAAGCAATGAGTTATTGATACGGCTTCACTGTATTCTGGAATAGAATAATTGTATAATGGTTATAATCACTTAGCGCATTGAACCTTCTACTAGCTTAAACTAAGTCACCTTGAAATATAGTGGTCAAATGTGACAGCTTCACCAGTGCAGAATTTTTAAAGCAAGGAAAAAGGAAATGAAACAGAGAGCAAAATATGAGGAGTGGGGGGTGGAGAAAGTGAAAACTTGAATGATGGGGTGATTTGGAGAGATGGGCAATATATCCACACAAAGAGGTTTCTAGATTTCTTTAAAACTGGCTGGAAACCTAGATCAAGTCGCTCAGGTCAGATATTGTGGGATCATCTCTGCAACTTTTAGTTTTGATCTCCCCCACAGTCTTCAGTATTCTCAGGTTGACTGAGACGCTGATTAGATGGAAGGGATGTCCAGACCTTCCTGTAGAATGCAAAGTTTGCTTTAAACAGAATCTTTGGGTGTCAGAAATCTAAAACTGGAAGCTGATATATTTGTTTTCTTATGTTAGCAGCAGTCTGCATCTTCGTCCACCTTTTTTCTTAATCTTGCTGGTGTAAAACGCTCTGGGACGCGACACTGCGTGAGAGGTGCTGTATATATGCAAATTGTTGTTGTCGGTTCTGAAGTGATGTAGAACAGCGACTGTCGTGGTTAGGATAAGTGGAAGGGTTGCAGAGCCAGGTTCTGCATCACCATAATACCGTTTTCAAAACGAACCAAGTTATTCGCTATTGAAGTTGGACTGGTAATGTTGATACAATTTCTGCAGTAACTAGGGTGACATGCCTGTATGAATTTGACAACTATTCACTGTGACCAATAAACTAAAGTTTTGAAGATGCTTTAGATGTTGAATTGTTTGGCCCCATTCAGACCGAATAGTGGTCTAATGTGCAATGCAACAAGGTCAAATAAAGATGATTCCTGAGGACAGTGTAAAATCCTAACATAGGATAACAGTATTTGTATTTTCAGTGATTATTAATAATTGGTGATAATCCTTACATTTGATGCAATGCTTTTTACATTGTTGACTTCTCAAAGTACTTCACAGGATTTACTGTAAAGTGTAGTGATTGTGAGTGAAAAGGGCAGAACAGCGCACACAAAGTGAATGGTCAATTTTATTTGGACCAATTTTTTATTTTTATTGGCCTGTACACTGGGAGAGATTCCGGCTGGGTGTTCCTTTTTTTTAATCTCCTTGCAGTTTCAGTAACTCGGTTGGTCTGTTGTTTCTCATGCTCTGACTGATTTCAATTGAGCAAAAAAATGAGCAGGAAAAGAACTGCAGTTGAAATAAATTTTGTAAATTTCTGTCTGAAATGTGTGGAACAATTGGCGATTTTTAGTAGGAAGAGATCTTATATTAATACTTAAAGTAACAGTAGATTGAGGCCAAACCAGATGATTGAACAAACATGCTCTGAACTGCTGAGTAATATGTTTGCAGATATTTTGTAAATGGAATTGATCTGTAACTGTGATGCTTCTGCTCTCTAGAAAAAGTTCTAATGAAAATGTAAATCTTTTTATTTTTTCCAGTTGCTTATATGTCCACAAGATGAGTGGAATGGGTGAAAACTCCTCTGACCCTACAAGAATAGATTCAAGAAAGCGTAAGGAATCGCCATGTGAGCACCCACGACCAAGGTAAGAGATTCAATCAAGGGAGTGAATTGTTGGGAGTGTTAAGATCTTTGCCTTCTTGATCATGATCCTTGGTCTTTAAGTTAGCAGATATTAGAGATGTCACCAGGGGCATGATCAGCTATTCTTGCTCATATTCATTATTCATTCAGTAATACTCTCAACCAGTGGACTTTTCTGGAAAGCTTGTGTGCAGACATTGAGGTGAGGACAAGATCTGGTTTGGTTGCGATAACCTTTGCAGTTGAATGGTCTGCTGCCACTCCTGAGGCTTGACTTGCAAATAGGAGTGTACCTCAGGTTGAGTTAGTATCTTGAAGAAAAAGCTTGAGGAGCAAAGGAAAATAGAACTTATGAATCATGAATATGCTAACCACTGCATGTCTATTTACATAACTAAGTCAAGGTATTCTACAGTAACATTGCATTTCTCTGCCCTAGAGATATTGCCAATGACTAAATTTGCTTTTCTGACATGTTTACATTTATTTTTGTTTTAATATTGAATCAGGATTATTCTTTCATTTAAAGCGCAATATTTTTGAAAAACATTCATTCTGTTCCACTCCAACATGATACTATTGTTTGTAATCAATTATTGTACGATAGATAAATATGAACTACATGATGTGAATATCTGAAGATCTTCAAACATGTACGTCAGCTTCAGAATTGATAAGCAAAGGGTCTGTTAGTTTTTGCATCAGTACTAACCACAGAGCCATGTTTTTCCGGAACTCTTTACTCATGGCAGTAAAATAACTCACATTATAGTGTGGTGTAGTTTTGCCAGCAGGAAATGAACGCTGTGGCTAAAGAAATCCTGCACTCATTCAATATTTATTTAAGCCCGGGTTCTAGCAAGGATTAGTGGATAGTAACCGAGTGGAATTTGGTTAAATGTTTTTCCCTCTACCTGAGGGACATTGAGGCTAATTATTGTGCCCCATGATAGCCTGTCTTAAGAGCTGATACAGGGCAAGGATCAAACCTCGGAGCTTGTAGGTCTGCATGGCTCAGTACCACAACGTGTGCCTTTATCTGGCCTAACGGTCCACCGACAAATCTGGCTGGACCTCCTCAAAATTTACCGCTCCACTCTAGCCTCGGCCAAGTCGTCCTTCTACTCCAGGATAATCCTGAGGCGAAGAACAACCCCAGGCTACTGTTTTCCACCACAACCCGACTCCTCCGTCCCCCCCGCCACCCCGCGCAGGTCATCTCCTCCAACCTTCACTGCGAGGAGATGCTGGATTTCCTTGAATCCAAGATCAAGGGAATTCGCTCCGCGGTCACTTCCCCTCCAACATCCACCAACCCCCCACCCCCTCACTCCCACACTCCGACTGCTACCCATCCTCCCCTACTCACTTTTGTACCCGTTTCCCCACCCTCTGTCACCAAACTCATCCTATCCCTGAAACCAACCACCTGCTCCCTTGACCCCATCCCCACTCCACTCCTTATCTCCCAGCTCCACTTTCTTGCCCCACATATCACCGACATCATCAACCTGTCCCTCTCCTCTGGCTCTGTCCCCATTCCCTTAAAAACTGCCACCATCACGCCCACCCTGAAAAAACCCTCCCTTGATGCGTCGCAGCTATCAAGCTACCGGCCCATCTCCAACCTCCCCTTTCTCTCCAAGGTCCTGGAAAGAGTTGTCGCCTCCCAACTGCGCTCTTTCCTTTCCACCCATTCACTTTTCGAACCCCTTCAGTCAGGTTTCCGTGCTGCCCATAGCACAGAAACTGCCCTGGTCAAGGTCACCAATGATATCCTGACCATCTGTGACCAGGGCTCCCTCTGTCTCCTCGTCCTCCTCGACCTATCGGCAGCATTCGATACGGTCGACCACGCTATCCTACTCCACCGCTTGTCCTCCCACCTCAACCTTCAAGGCACTGTCCTTGAGTGGTTTAGGTCGTACCTTTCTCACCGTCTTCACTTTGTCTCACAAATGGCTTCTCCTCCACCCCCCGCACTGTCTCATGTGGTGTCCCTCAGGGCTCTGTCCTCGGTCCCCTCCTCTTCACCCTCTATATGCTCCCCCTTGGTGACATCATCCGCAGACATGGAGTTAACTTCCACATGTATGCGGATGACACCCAACTCTACCTTTCCTCCTCTACTCTCAACTCCACGACCACCGATGTCCTGACAGCCTGCCTGTCCGACATCGAGTCCTGGACGAGAGACAACTTTCTTCAGCTCAACGTGCGAAAAACCGAGGCCCTCCTGATTGGCTCACGTCAGCGCCTCCGCACCTCAGGCGCCGACACCATCAGCATCCAAGGCTGCACTCTCCACCTCTCAAAGCCAGTCAGGAACCTCGGCGTTTTGTTCGACCCTGAGCTGCCCTTTCTCCCTCACATCCGCACCACAACTGGCACCGCCTTCCATCACCTCCGGAACATCGCCAGACTACGGCACTACCTCACCCCTCACGCTGCTGAAACCCTGGTCCACGCCTTTGTCACCTCAAGGCTGGACTATGGGAACTCTCTCCTCGCCGGCCTTCCCGCCACCTCCCTCCACAAGCTGCAGGTCATTCAGAACTCTGCAGCTCGTGTACTGTCCCGCACCAGGCTTCGCGACCACATCACTCCCACCCTCGCTCGCCTCCACTGGCTCCCCATCCCCCAGAGGATTGATTTCAAGATCCTCATCCTCACCTATAAGGCCATTCACGGCCTTGCTCCCTCCTACCTCTCTGACCTACTATCCCCCTACCTACCCGCCCGTACCCTCCGTTCCTCTGGCTCCGGTCTGCTCCACGTCCCCCGCCCCAACCGCCCTACCATCGGTGGTCGGGCCTTCAGCCTCTCAGCCCCAGGCTCTGGAACTCCATCCCCCAGTGCCTTCGCCTTGCTTCCTCCCTTTCCTCCTTCAAGGCCGGTCTCAAAACCTTTCTCTTTGACCGAGCCTTCAGCTCCCCTCTCGACTCTCTTCCCCCTCCTCGCTCCCTCCCTTCCCTCCCCTCACCCTGACCATTTCCCCCCTCCTCGCTCCCTCCCTTCCCTCCCCTCACCCTGACCATTTCCCCCCTGCTCGGGTCCTGACCCAATTGTGCAGCGCCTTGGGATGTCCTCCTGACGTGAAAGGCGCTTTATAAATGGAATCTTGTTGTTGTTGTTTATCCATTCAACCATTGAACAGCCTTTTTTAAATGTTTGAAGCTATTTCAAGATGTTGTTGTGGCAATACCTCTGTACGAGACGATGCAGGTAATTATTGGCCTCTTGGTGGGAGAGCAAGAAAGCTTTAGGCATTCAGGCTGGTAATTACCATGGTTTTTGTCCCTTGCTGGACCATTAGGAAAGGTCAATTAAAATCTTTCACTGCCCAACAAATTACAAAATGGTAGGTTTCTGATCATTCAGGTTGATTTGGAGATGTTGGTTAAGGAATAGAGCTATTTTGTTAGTACCTTCCTTCCACTTCAATTATATGTTTGACTTATGAGGGCAGTAAGAGTTGTATGATTTGGTCTGCTTTGCAGAATTGCACTTGGTACCACTATTTTAGCTGTTTCTGTGCAACTATATTAACACCAGGAGAATTGGTGACGCAGAGTTGAAAAAGGCTTTACCAAATGAGAATGGAATAGTTATACCAAAATTATTAAGCACAGGACCAATGTTACAACAACAACAACTTGGATTTATGTAGCACCCTCCAAGCCGAATGGTGTCTCAGAGCGCTTCACAGTAACGGATCCCGGGACCGAGCCAGGCGGAGGGGAGGAAGGTGGCCAAAGGTGCGGTCGAAAAGAAAGGTCTTCAGCAGAGACCTGAAAATAGGAAGAGAGGGAGCGAGGCAAAGGGAGTGAGGAAGGGAGTTCCAGAGCCTCGGGGCATAGTGGCTGAAGGCACGGCCGCCAAGGGTTGAGCGGAGGACTCGGAGGACAAGGAGGAGGCCAGACCCGGAGGAACGAAGGCAACGAGCACTGTTTTGAGGAGAGAGGTCAGAGAGGTCGGGGGCTGCAGAGGAGTGCAGGGATTTGAATACAAGGGTGAGGATCTTGAAATGTTAGGAATTACAATATCCTTTTTTCTAAAAGTATTTTTGATTTGAAGAATACAAATGGATAGTATGATTCAGCATAGAAACAGGCCATTCTGACCAACCAGTCCATGCAGAAATTGTTAAATGTGACTTGTGTTTAAGATACTACATTTTCAGAATCAAACCAGTGGTACGATTTGATTCTTGTTTCCCGACATGAAAGGAGCTATACAAATGTAATTTTGTATTGTATTTAATAACTTAACTGTTTTTGTGTCTTGACAGCCCTAAACGTAGCACTGAGAAACGTCATCGTGAGCAAGAAAATAAATATATTGAAGAACTTGCTGAGCTGATATTTGCTAATTTTAATGACATTGATAACTTCAATGTAAAACCAGACAAATGTGCAATCTTAAAAGAAACTGTGAAACGAATTCGTCATATAAAAGAGCAGGGTAAGTTGCTTTATATCCATAGTAAATCTAAGTTTGACAAATGTTACAAGTATGGTGATGCAATGGTAGGACTTCACTATTCTGATGGATCCAATTCAGTGGTCTTATATTTCTCTACCTGAACGCTTGATCTTGAATCAGTTGTTCGCTTGGCAAAGTCACCTCTTCACCATCTGGTGTTAGTCTTTTAAGTAATTACACGTAATAAAGGTTCACAACAACTTCTTAGCAGAATGGTTTGAGATCAAAATTGCTCTTCATGTGTTTTGGGCTGCTTCGATTTACTCCCATGACATGATTTTCAAACATATGGATTTTTTCTTGTGGCTGGCTTGGAACAGTAATGTAAATTCTAATAAAAATAAAGGATACTTCACTGGTGAAGAATGTTTGTTTTCCAGAAGTGTGAGACCTATAATTCATAATAGTCTTTTCCATGTGAATGTCTAGAATTTGTGCTGAAGCTTTTGGCTTTACCAGCAAGTCGTACATGAAATGCATAGCTTTAGCATGTTATGGCACACATCGGCAGCTTAATAAAATGTAAAATAAAAACTTAGGTTAATATAATTTGCATAACAGGATAGGCTAACTTTTGTGGAGTTGGCATTCCAGAGGCTGACATGAAACTCTACCATAAATGTTTGAGAGATTGGGTCAGTGTAAAAATTAAACTTTGAAAGAAACGAAGAATAAACAATGAATGTTTTTTTAAAAAGTATAATTTAGGATCTACTACATTAAGTGAATAAAGTTGTAATGACTTGAAGAATTGTTTGGGATGTTTTAAAAAGTAACTCAGCCTGTGAGGGATGTGACAAAGGCGGGGAAAAACGATTAAAAATTTACAATGATAAATAAAAGGACTATGTTGTTGAATTTTAATTACTGTATGACTCCTTTTTTGTCTTTATAGACAAGTACGTTGTCTGCAGTTTTTCATTATAAACATTTTAAACTTCAGCCAACTATGGCGATGATGTTTCTTTCCATTGGAGTAGTCTCAATCTGCATACATTTGCAACACTTGCAGGATACTTATTTTTTAGTTAACCACGCTTAATGCAATTTAAAAAAATATTGTTCTGTCCAAAGTTGTCTGGTCATGGCTGATGCCACTTTTTTCACTATGTGCTTTAAATGTTGTAATTTCACTGTGTCAGTGGTGACCTGGCACCCTACAAGTCAGTCACTGCTTCATACACAAAAACAGAAGTCGCTGGGAACACTCAGCAGGTCAGGCAGCACCTGTGGAGAAAGGCAAGTGAGTCAACATTTTGGGTCCACGATCCTTCGTCAGAACTGGGGCATGTTGGGAGGGAGAGACATTTAAGGGCTAACAGAGAAGGGGGAGGCAGGGCAAGGAGGACAAAGGAGAAAATGGGGTAGAGAACAGGGTATGATGGGTTAAAGAGGTGTTAGTGATGCAAAACAAAGGAGGGGGATTGCAACAAAATAGGCAGACCAGAGAGAGAAAAGGTGTGTGGGACCCAGATGATGTAATGGTCAAAGAAGAGAGGGAGGGGGAAGGTAAGCTGTTATGGTTTGAAATCAATATTGAGGCCAGAGGGCTGTCAGGTCCCTAGCAGATAAATGAGGTGCTGTTCCTCGACCTTGCACTGTGGCTCATTGGAACAGTGTAGGAGACTATGAATGGAGAGGTCAGAGTGCGATTGGGCAGCAGAGTTGAAGTGGCAAGAAACGGGAAGCTCAGGGTTGTGCTTGTGGACAGAACGGAGGTGTTTGGCAAATCGGTCACCCAATCTGTTTCGTCTACTCAATGTAGAGGAGACCACAAAGTGAAGCCACTACTTCACTTTGCTTATGACGTGGCCAGTGAGATATTGGAGCCAGCCGACCACATTAAAATAGGGCTTCAATGTATTTGTAGATGAACTATTCTTCTGATCACCATAAGTAGACACCTCTACCCCATTTTGTGAACTTAACTCTTTTTCAGGTAAACTTTGGGTTTGGTTTGTTTGTATATGGTTGTGAAGCATATTTTTTGTTTCGATAGCCAGGATTGAGTACTCCTGGGTCAGATATAAACTCGCCTAGCACAGAGTAAACATTCACTCATGTCAGTCATCTGACTTTTTCAGTGTGACTGCCGCATTGCACTTTTCAGTTTGAACTTACCTGCAACAAGAACAGAGAAAGAACTGCCTGAATTTGTCCCCAACTAGGAATCATTTGGCAGATACTGAGAATGTCTGTCATCCATAATGACTGTGGCTAGTGATCATCTGTTAAATATTTGTCAGTTCTGTTGCCTCATTGTTACCTTTTTTCGACCATGCGCCTTTTGAGATTGTGAGATTTTGCATTGAAATAAATGAGGCAACAGTTTCTTTATCCCCCTCTCTCTATCCTGACATATATCTAAGTTTGTGTTAAAGTCTTCCAGTTACAGTGCTCTGAATTTATGTAATTCTACAACAAAATTACATTTATATGGCCCCTTTCACGTTGGGAGGATGTCTCAAGGTGCTGGACAGACAGAGTTTCGGACCCGAGCTGGGGGTCGGGGAATGTGGAGGGCAGGGGGAAAGCAGGAAGATCAAAAGCACGGTCAAATAGGAGGGTCTTGAGATGGGTCTTGAAGGAGCAAGGGTCTGCGGGGTGGAGTTCCAGAGTGTGGGGGCAGAGTGGCGGAAGGCCCGCCCGCCAATAGTGGGGCGAGCAAGGAGGGGGACGTGAAGAAGGCTGGAGCGTGCTGAGCGGAAGGAGCGAGCAGGATGGTAGGGGGTTAGGAGGTCGCAGAGGTAGGGGGGAGCAAGACTAATGGAGGGCTTTGAAAGTGAGGACTAGGATCTTGAACTGTATCTTCTGTGTGATGGGATGCCAATGGAGTTGGGTGAGGATGGGGGTGATAGGGTCGCGGAACCTAGTGCAGGAGAGGACGTGGGCTGCAGAGTTCTGGATGATCTGCAGCCAGTGGAGGGAGGAGTTGGGGAGGCCGACAAGCAATGAGTTTGCATACTCAAGCCTCAAAAGCATGTATGAGGGTTTTGGTGGCCTGCATGTGAGACAGTGGTGGAGCTTTGCGATGTTGTGTTGGGGGAAGACAGAGTGGGTCATGGCGCAGATGTGGCCCTTAAATGTGGATTAATGTGAATTTAAGATGTGGATTAAATTCTAGTGTTTAATTTACAAGGTTTAACAATAATACTGTATTTACATTTGATATAGAGCCTCTCAATGGGGATATCTCAAAAGCCCTTCACAGGATATTCTGTAAAGTGTAGTGATAGTGTATTTTTATACATATACTTTGTATATACTTGCCTTGCTTCCTCCCTTTTCTCCTTCAAGGCCGGTCTCAAGACCTTTCTCTTCAACAGTGCCTTCAGCTCCCCTCTCAACTCTCTACCCACTCCTCGCTCCCTCCCTTCCCTCCCCTCACCCTGACCATTTCCCCCCTGCTCGGGTCCTGACCCAACTGTCCAGCGCCTTGGGACGTCCTCCCGACATGAAAGGCGCTCTATAAATGCAATCTTATTGTTGTTGTTATGGATGAACGTATTTTCATTGTAACTAAACACAATCATAAGTTCTTGCAATTTCTCTTTTACTGGGCCCCACTGACTAGCTTTGAATAAGATCTTATATACCTTGTTAATTGTCACAGATAAAGCTGTGCAAACCTAAACTAATCCTTGTTCACTAACTGTGTAACAATATGTCTCTCAGTACAAGAGCAGAAGGTAACAGCAGTATCTTCGACATGTTGACACATCAGGAGGGACGTGGACCTGGAGTCACACTGACCTGTCTATTGGGCAGGTCTCGAAAGCACTCCAGGTGCCCACTCATGCCATCTGGGTACTTTGGATGTGTGAGCACCTGGTAATGTTGGGACCTATGGTCATATTTAAATTCCAAACACTATACAAATCTCAACACTTCAATACTTCTCCCATCCCCCCAAAGGAATTAATTCAAATTCCTTAGCCTCACATTCATAATCCTCCACAACTTTATCCTACTCTGCCTTTGTGACCACCTACAACCTACCCACGCCCTCTATTCAGCAAACATGGCATGCTTTTTATCACTTGCCCGAACTTTTTTTCTCTTTTTGTTACCCTCTTCCCCCACCCCCCATTCCCCAAGCTTTCAACTGTTCTGCTCCCGCTCCATAATGGAGTCGCTCCTCCTTGCCCCCTTCCCTGCTTTAACTCCCACTTTAAGATCTATCTTTTCGACTATGCTTTTGGGCACCTTTCTCATCCCTCCCTAATTACTGTACAGGATGCGGTTATTTGTGGGTGAACACAACAGCCAATTTGCACGCAGACATGTCCCGCAGCCATAACATAAATGACTAATTTTTATTTGGGGGGATGGTTGGCTAGGCCACAAGAAGAAACTCCCTTTGAATAGTATAACAAGATCTTTAGCATCCATCTGAACAGGCAGATGGGACCTCAGTTTAAAAAAAACTTTGCATTTTGATATAGCGCTTTTCATGTCTTCTAGACGTCTCAAAACACTTCACAGAATATACTGTAAAGTGAATTTACTGTACATTTGTGGGCGAAACGTGGCAGCCAATTACGCACAGCAGTGTCCCATAAACAGTCATGGTTTGAAGTGACTAATTTTATTATTGTTTTTTTCTTGAGGGATTATTATTAGGCATGTGGAGTAACAACAACAACAAGATTTCATTTATAGAGCGCCTTTCACGTCCGGAGGACGTCCCAAGGCGCTGGGCAGTTGGGTCAGGACCCGAGCAGGGGGGAAAGGGTCAGGGTGAGGGGAGGGAAGGGAGGGAGCGAGGAAGGGGTAGAGAGTCAAGAGGGGAGCTGAACGCACGGTCAAAGAGAAAGGTCTTGAGACCGGCCTTGAAGGAGGAAAGGGAGGAGGCAAGACGAAGGCACTGGGGGATAGAGTTCCAGAGCCTAGGAGCTGAGAGGCTGAAGGCCCGGCCACCGATGGTAGGGCGGTTAGGGCGGGGGATTTGGAGCAGACCGGAGCCAGAGGAACGGAGG